CATTAGCACCTCTAGTAATATATTTACTGAGAAAAATGGTGACGTGTTCAACACTTATTTTACCCGCTGTATATTTATCCACAGAGTTGATGTGATCAGTGAAATGTTGGACTTCCTGGGATTTAATTTTAACCCTGGTGTCATCAACACAGGTTTTAAATTTCAATTTTTTCATTGGTAAAGATACATTTTTAATAAAATATTTATTGATAACATTTGAGACAACAATGCAGTGCAAACTAAAGCAGTATAAACCCACACTTTCAGTAAATATTTGTAGTTTTAGAATAACATATGCTGGGTCTGTGCTATATCAACAGGTGTTTCACATGATATTCTAAACCTGTTTGTGCCTTCTGCTTATTTGATTAAATTATTCTAAATCTCACAAATAACTTAACAGGAGCTAATAATGTTTAACCTACCTCCTTCAACTGTGCCAGACGGTCCTTCATCTTATGAAGTATTAAATACAAATGTTGAATATAAAAAGACAAGCAGGTATTCCTCAGTTCTACACAGTTGTCAGCCTGGTCTTCAAAGTTGGGCTGCTGGAAACGATTGTACTTGAAATAATCCAGCTGTTTGGACCGAGGGGGTTGCTGGAGACAAAGACAGAACCACGTAGAAAGTCCAGGTTGTTTGGATGGTTTCCTCTGAGACAAACTGTGCACAGCCTACTCTGTGGAACAACTAAGCCTCTAAGAACGGATTAGAAGAACTGTGTTCAGGGTGATAAACCTCTCTGCCCCAAGCCCCCTCCTGCATCCACCAGAAAAGACTGACTCTAGACAGCAGGGCTTAATCTCAGTCTGACAAAAGCCAATCCCATTTATCTCTATGTGTGTGTGTGCAGGTTAATATAAACATGATAGTGAAGCAGTCCGATAGATGTTGACCCTTAATGCAGACTATCTGGTTGTCTGTCTTGCAACTTGCAACTTTACCCTCCTGTTGTGTTGTGGGTCAAACTGACTCGTTTTAAAGTTTCACATTTTTTTAATAGTTTAAAGTATTTTTTCTGCAGGAAACCTTTTCTATTTGTCTTTAGGTATAATTTACATGTAAAATGATTCACAGTGATGAAGGTTTGTGGTGTTCACAGGTTGCTGCTCATTTAGAGAATAAAGGACTGGGGTGGATCTCGAGTCGCCAGTTCATCCTTGATGTCCTCGTTCAGTGCCTACAAAAAGGCATCCTACAGAGTCTCATCATYCCACCAGCTGTCCACTGCTACGGTGTGAAAAACAATACCTCTGTGACCCTCTTGTTCCCCTGTTTGAGAGTTAGCAGACCTCTGGATGCTTCTCGATGAGGAAGAACTGGACAAAAAAACTCTGAGTAACTCTCTAGCAAAGTCTTTGTACTTGTAACAAATGAGAGCGTCTCTTTGCCACTCAGCAGTTCCCCACAACTTGGCTTTAACAGACAAAAGCGAAACATAAGCGAATTTGGAGTGTTCAGAAGGGAATGCTGAACGTTGTAACTCAAACTGTTCTCGGGTGGGCACAAACGGGGCTCCATACATGAGGGAGGCTGAGGTCTTGAAACCTTAGGTGATGCTGCTTGTCCTCCAGCAGGGAGAGCCGTAACATTACAAGATAATGATAAATTACTTAAAAGTTGTGTTAATGTTACGAATACTTTTATCCAGATCATTTAAAGCTCCCTCAATACTTGCCTTCCAGGCTGTGTTCGGCTCAGAGCTCATAGTGGCCAGATAATCTGTTACAGTTTGTATTTTGAGCTCTGAGTAAACACCGAACAACGTCAAAGTTTTAACAAGTTTATTGTTAGAATTTTCAGCTGGAAGGTTGGAACCGGACTCTGGGGTCGTCAGTTCTGGACACAGAAGCTTAGGGTTAGGTTGAGTCATGAACTCAATATTATTTGTGAGAAAGAGAGTCACCAACCTTTCCTGCTGTGTTGAAGTCCAGGTTGAAACARCAGCWGATGTGTTTTGGTTCTGGGCTGTGTTGTCACGTGGAGCGAATGTATCGCTGGACTTACTCAGGGTCAGAAACAGGGCAAGGGTCATACACAGGTGGTCAGAGGATGTTACCAGGTTAGGAGATGACTGAGTCGTTGGTCCAGAGATGCGTTCAGGGGTCGAGATCCAGGAGGTCAGATGTGGCGCGGTACCGTTCAGGAAGCAGGCGAGTGACAATAATCCAAGAGACAGAAAAAAGGGTCGTTACCGTGACAGCAGATGGCAGGAGGGATCCGACAGGGGCTGAGGCCGGAGACGTTAAACCAGGAGACATGAGCGAGGTCGGGGACATGAGG